AATCACAGAAAACAGAGGGAATGGAGATGACACGGCTGATATCTTTCATTCCTCCACTCTTTTCTTCTCTGAGTGATGTGCTGTTTTGATCGTACAGTCAAATGCGAGTTGTTGTTTACAGAGCTCATTTCCTTCTTTTGTCATTTAAGTTGAGAACTATGTTTATTATATCTGTTTACACAGGACTAAAGCATTTGTTCTGCCAAAAATGAGAGTGCTGTCATCATTTATCTCAATACCATTTGACCTCCATTGAATCAAACAGGAACTGCACTGATAGCTGCAAAATATAGTTGTTATTTTAATTTTAAAGTAGATTTTATTTTTATATTTTCAAGTTCTACTTTTACTAATCACTTCTACTAATTTACTTCTAATTACAACTATGTTTTATCTTAATTTTACTTTTTTTTTTAATGTTTTTTGTCATTTTTAATTGTTTTTTTTTGGATAATGTCTAGGCTTTTATTAAGTTTTAGTTTATTTGGTTTAGTTATTTTAGTACTTCAGTTTGTTATGTGAAATGCTTTCTTGACAACTATAGCTGAACTAAGTGTTTTATTTTTATATTTTATTACAGTTCTTTTTTGTATTATGTTTTATTTAGACTTAGCAAATGATAACCCTGGAATAAACACGTCAAGCTTCATTATTTCTCCATGAAATTATTATAAAATTGGTCCAAAAAAAAAATAAATAAATAAAAATAACAAAATTTAAGTTGTTATTCTTTCCGAAATTGGATACAAAGATATGGCTTATAGATCACTTTTATAATGCTTTTATGGTACTTTTGCATGCATTTGAACCTTGAATGAGTGAAAGATCCGGTGTTATTTTAGTATTGATATATTAGCAAAAATATAGTTTTAATGTTTTAAATTTGAATTAGATTTCATTTTTATTTTTATTTTCATTTTAGTTATTTTGTTGTGATTTTGTCTTTTTTATGTCTATATGGTTTGTTATTAAATTTTAGGTTTTAGTTTTTAATTTTAGTCATTTTAGTACTTCAGCTTGTGTGAAATGTTACAAATTTATTTCAGTTCATGTTTACTTTAGTTTTATTATGTATCATTTAGTTTTAGCTAAAAATAGGAACCCTGGAATGAACATTCAAGCTTCATAAAGGATGTAGAAGCACCATTAAAGTATAACAAAAGTAGTCAAAAGACCAAAATTGAAGTCATTATTCTTCAACAATTTGGACATGATTGAAGTTTTGAAAACTGTAGCAGATTTGGTGGAAAAAAAGACACTTGAAAGATTGATTCGTTCACAAATAAGTCATCGATTCTCTTCTAACTCTTCATTAAATAATGACTGTGAAGTTATCATATGGCTTCAGAAGACTTAGAATGTATAGCGCACGAGTCATACACTTTTATGATGCTTTTGCATGTTTTTGAAGCTTGAATGATTGAGAGGTGGATTTCGCTTTTGTGTTTGCCTACATGAATCATGACAAATTTGAATGCATCATATTTAACGTTTCATTTATTATCAGATTTGCAAAAGCTACAACCAATTTACACCATCCAGCTGTTGACCATCTACTAAAACCAACAATACAGCCATTAAAGTGCCCCTATTATGGATTTTTGAAAATTACCTTTTATGCAGTGTGCAACACAGCTCTAAGTGAATGAAAACATTCTGCAAATTTTTAAATCTGAAAGTGTATAAAGTTATTGTCTCTCAAAAGAAAGAGTCGACTCGGAATCATTGAAACGAGTCATTTTTTTAAAAACGAATCCCGCAGATTAGCGTCACGCAAAGGAGGGGTTTGGAAAAATGAATCGTTGAGTGAATCGTTTGGGAGTCGTTGAGCAAGGTAAAAATAAATGCATATTATAAGACCTTGCATGCATGTCAACCTGTTTTGGGGGTCTCCCAAAACCGAAATATGAACCTTTCATAACCCATAATGGGGCACTTTTTTTAAACCACTGCATGAGTGATTTCATCTTTTAACCACCATTCAGAATCACAGAAACTCCCCAAATGTGGATGTCCCTTTCTGAATGGATTTCATGTTTCATATTCCAGTCCCTGACTATGAAATGCTTGGTGATGACAGTCACCGGTTGTACTGTGTTGAATGAGTAACACGTTTCCGCTGATCTCAATCCGGTTTTGCTGCTCTGGAGGAAATGCGTGTTGTAAAGTGATGCTTCAGCAGGTTAATTGTGCAAACATCTTTACAGACTCTCAAAATATGAAACGCTCTTATTGTCATCACAGCTATCATTTACACTGGAACAGAAGGAACGTGTTCACTATACTGTAAATATATAAATAAGTGTAGCAAGGACAGGAATGAAATATGGCTTTCCCATTTCAATGCAAATGAAGGAGAGAAAGAATGCAGTGCGAGCGTCTCACCAGTGTTTCTGAGCTCAACACGCTCCTATAGATGGAGGAAATTAGTGTCCACAAATGAAACTGTCTGTCAGCATGAATCCAGAGCCGAACTTATCGCTGCCGTTGCATTGCGTACGGATGTTTACTTCAGAGTGCACTTCTTTTAATGCAGAAATGAACCAGCGTGACGGTCGGGGTGAAGGAGAAGATCTCTCAGAGCTTCATGCTTTTCATTATTTGTGGCCCTGGAGCACAAAAGCAGTCTTAAGTCGCTGGGGTATATTTGTAGCAATAGCCAACAATAAATTGTATGGGCCAAAATTATCCATTTTTCTTTTATGCCAAAAATCATTAGGATATTAAGTAAAGATCATGTTACATGAAGATATTTTGTAAATGTTTTTACCGTAAATATATCAAAACTTAATTTTTGATTAGTAATATGCATTGCTAAGAACTTCATTTGAACAACTTTAAAGATGATTTTCTCAATATTTAGATTTTTTTGCACCCTCAGATTCCAGATTTTCAAATAGTTGTATCTCAACCAAATATTGTCCTATCCTAACAAACCATACATCAATGGAAAGCTGATTTATTCATCCTTCATGATTTAAAAAATGACCCTTATGACTGGTTTTGTGGTCTAGGGTCGCATTTGTCTTTTTTTGTCTCCCAGCGCTAAATCAAGTCGTTTCTGTTTAGATGTTTGCGATCTGCCTGCTTCGTTTGCGAATGGAGATGTGTGGGTTCTGTGTGGAAATGTTGTGTTGATTTGTGTGTTTACGTGTCCTCACAGCAATCAGTCTTACTTACAATTCATTCCTTCACAAATTCACTTTGTCAGACTTGTGAAGTTGCAGAAGTTTTGTCAGAAGCTCGTTCTGTGATTTCATGCAGTGTAATGAAAAAAATGCAGTTTTATTGAAATGTTATTGTTTTTTTAACGTGGCTGTGTTTTGTCCATGTTTTTTTTTGTGTGTGTGTAAATACTGTACATTTCTCTTCACTTCAGCACGGAAGCTTGTAGGGGTTGGGTGCCACTTTTTTTTTCTTCAACTATTAGTTTTCTCCTGTTTTTTTGGCTACTCAGGGAGTTAGTTCAGTCCCTGTATTTTTGTTCAGATTTTTTTCTTTGTAGCATAGTAAGCTTTATCGGGAAAAAGGTAGATTCCGTTTGTGTTTATTATTTTGGCCTTGGCCCAAACCTGAACCCTTTCGCTTCCCATTTGTGTGCTGATTATTGCCATTGAACTTGACTGGTAAAAAATAAAAAAAGAAAAAGAAAAAAGAGAGAAAACAAGCAGTTCGGTGTAAAGACATTTATTTATTGTTCTCAGGCCCTTGACCTGGGACGTAACACCGTATTTATCTGTATTCAACATCTAACTCTATACAGCAGTTTTTTAGCACGACATTATATTAAATAAATGCATTTAGAACACACTTGTATCCAAGATGACTTACATTGCATTGGAGGTATCCAACTCATGCTTTCTCTGGGATCTGAATCATGCTTTCTCTGGGATGGGAATGCAAACCACGGCTTCTTGGGGCTTATTGCTTTTATAAAACTTTTATTATTCCATATACGTAGTTAGGTTTCACAAAATAAAACAGAGCAAATAAAGTGTAATGATATTAATAAAAACAGTATTCTTCCACCAAACAACGTAGCTCCTCAGAAACAGTTGTGGTTGTAACAAAGTGGTTGCCGAGCAACACACAGAAGTAAACAAAGGTGTATGTTACTTTGTAGAGTCATTTACAACAGCTTCGAACGCGGCTCAGCCAATCAGAATCAAGGACCGGAACTATCTGTTTTATAATATAGGTTTTATATATAGTATGAATTAGTTTTTCTGTGTGTGTATTCTTCATAACTGTAAGCGTCACACACTGCTTTTGCTCGTTCTGTGTAAAATCGTTCTCCTGTTTGTGTTTCTCCACAGCTCCATGGCTGATTGACTCTAATTATGTATCTAAACGAACCAACTCGCTTCTGTAGCCAGCAATATTGGTTTTCCTGAAATCTTAAAGTCGCAAGGCCTTGTGTGTGACATAATGAAGTTCTGTCCAAGTTAATTCTCCGGCAGGTTTAATGGTGCATTTCGAGCCGTTGCTCGCGCCGCATTAGCAGCGGGGAAACGCTCCGCGGGGAATCCAGTGCAGCTCAGCGCATAAGTTTGCACTCACCTGCTGTAATGGTTTAGCAGAAGAGATGGGAGCATTGGTGTCTACTGAAAGCAGTCTGTTAAGGAGTGATGAGACACACAGACTCGGGTTTCACAAGAGCTTTGGGTTCTTGTTCAGGATGTGATGCAAACTTTGTCTTTGAAGAGAAACACTTCAGCTTCTGAGAACTTACGTATGTTTAAATACTTTGAGATTCAGAGATACATTTTTTTTTCATGAAATTTTTGACATTGTGGGGACATTGTCCCCATTTTCCCACAGGGAAAAAAAAAAAGTAAAAATAGTAAATGATGTTTATCTGAAAGTGTAACAATGCAAACAGGTTTTCTGTAAAGGTTAGGGTTAGGGGGTAGAAAATATAGTTTGGAAAAGTAATAGAAGTCTATGGAAAGTCCCCACAATTCACAGAAGCCTAATATGAGTGTGTGTGTGTGTTTCAGGTCGAGGCCAGACCATCAGTGACTGACATGAGTAGAAACCTTCCGTCCGATCCAGCATCATTTCATAAGGGATTCACACTCATGTGTTTCACGCACAGATAGTACAACTTTACATTTTGCTGTTTCACTTCATTGATTAAAGCTCCTCTTTCACATTCCCATCTCGTTCCTAAACACCGTCAGAAGCGATAAACTCATCCCGTCCTCGCGTGTTTCTCGTCCGTGTTAAAGGGAAATCATCTTGAGGAGCATTGGGTCTGACACCAGCACCGCATCAGGACAGATGCTCGGACCTAATGGAAAGTGAGTAGCTTAAGAAAGCAGCGGTGAAGCGTCAGCAGTGCTCTCTTTTCCCACCCGCCCTGTCCTGGCCTAATTAATGCCTGCCCAAGAACTAACTTGTAGCTGTCAGCGTCTGCCGGCTCCGCAGAAATCCAATAACTTCAGCCAGCAAATTTATGTGGAACACCAGCAAAGCTCCAGCAAACTCCAAATGATGCATTCAAATCCACTGCATTTTGAAATCCTGTTTGTTTGTTTTTTATAAGTTGTCAGGTACTTTGAATATTGCATATATTGGAATTTGAAATGTGTCAAAATAATCAGAGGCCTTACTGCAAACATGTTGTGCCTGTCTTTTATTACATATAGAAATAAAAATGGTTTTCACTCCTAGAAGTTTCCATGACTGGTTGTTTATCACTCGCTGCATGTAAGGTTTTCAGATTAAATACACTACCGCTCATTTTATAGTTTTTAAGTCTCTTCTGCTCACCAAGGTTGCATTTATTTGATCAAAAATACCGTAAAAAATGTAAAATATGTGTACAATTTAAAACAGCTGTTTTCTATGTGAAAATCTGTTAAACTGTAATTTATTTCTGATGCGCAGATGTATTTTCAGCATCATTACTCCAGTCTTCAGTGTCACATGATCTTCAGAAATCATTCTAATATGCTGATTATTAGAAACATTTCTGATTATTATCAATGTTGAAAACAGTTGTGCTGCACACTATTTTTGTGGAAACTGTGATACATTTGATTTTTTCAGGATTCACAGATGAACAGAAAGTTCAAAAGAACAGCATTTATTTGAAATATAAATATTTTGTAACATTATAAATGTGTTTACTCTCACTTTTGATCAATATAGAGCATCCTTGATGAATGAAAGTATTCATTAATGAAAAAATGTCTTACCCCATATATACACATACTATAGACAGAAGTTTCTCAGACCTTATTGTGCTCATGAATTGAAAAACCCCGTTCTAAACCCCAGAGGAGAGTCGGCAGGGATTAGTCTTCAGGGTTTTGACGTCACGACTGCAGCTCAGCTCTCTATTAGATGATAGATTAGTGGAAACAACCCTGCAGAAGACTTCCATGTTTCTTCTGTAATTTCTTTACCTCCCAGCCGGAGCAAATGTCAGTGGATTAAAGAGAAAGAAAAGCGTTCTCCGGTAGTTCTGCTTGTAACGTCTGTGGGTCAAGGGCAAAATAAAGCCTGTCCTTATCAGTATCACTGTAATAAATGTAAAACAGCTGGAAAACTCAGTCTGGCCATGAATTTCAGAGTCAGCTCAACTTGAAGACAACTTGTTTATGTTTATTTCGAGAAGCTTATGTCCAGAGATGCTTCAGACTCGGCTTTTATTTCCATTTGCATTTTGAAGAATCACTTTGGAGACGAGAAGACCTGATGTCAAAGTGCAAGACCTTTCTAATTTTGAAGGTGGACACATTTTTGAGGGCAGCAATTTCAAGAATAAGAGATTCAGCCTATGATAAGCCTCAAATTAGCTCTGTTTTTTTTTTTTGTACCATATATTATTATATGATTTTTTTTATTTGTGCAGTTGCACTGTGAGACTGTCAATCAAAAATGTGTTACATTTTTATTTTTAATATAATCATAATTTAACATTGTTTATCTTATTGTTTATTTTTATATTATTTTAATTGTAATATTTTTGAATTAATAGTAATAATGCAATTAAATAATTTGTAAAATATTTAATATTTAATAATAATAATAATAATAATAAAGGCAATAAAATAGCATTGTTTTTTATTATTTTAATAATAATAATAATAATGCAATAAAAAATAACACAATTAATCATTGCTCCTGACCCATATATCATTATTTTTCAATTGGAACATTTAACGCTTGAGGCACCAAAAGCACTTCTCACTTTTTCATAACCCTTTTTTAGTATGAAAAAAAGCAAACAATCAATAAAACAAGCCGAGGTGTGTAAGGCTGAACTGAAAAAGCAGCACATGAGCTGCTTTATGAGATGCACTATGTTTAAAAATAGCATCTGAACTCCTGGCTGTCTAACCTCTCTTAAGGTAAAGAGTTTGGTCTCTCAGAGACGTGCTTCTTCTGTAATGCTTATGGAGATGCAGCGCTCTTCAGGATCATCCTGTGCACTGAGGCTAATGCTGAATTGCCACTTTCATGAACCATAACACTTACAAACATCTCTCTATTAACTAGACGGCCTTTGGCAGAGTGCTGCCATATCAGAGACGTCCGCAGTGTTAAATCTGAGCTTGATATTACAAAGTTCTGCATGAAATCCAAAGCATATCTAACCTACTTTGGATTATAATTATTTTGTGATATTTTGGCGGCTTGTGCATTTAATATTTATGTTGGTGCAGCAGCTTTTAGTCATGCAAATTGCAAAAATAGTTCTGTATCTGGTTTATGGTGTCAAGTATTGCAGTGTGAAATCAAACCTTCAAACAAATCAGATTTACTTGATGCCTCATAAATATTTGAACATCTGAATTTGCATCGTCAGCTATGAGCATGATGCAGTTGAATTGATTTTTCCATACTAGATCTTATCATTTGGAAATACAACTTGCACATGGAATATGTTGACATTATTAATACATGTATATTAATAAATGCATTGAGAACTGCAGCAAATGTAGAGCAAATGAATCCAGCCGATCAGTGCAAGAACGAGACGCCAACGGCGAACACTAGCGGCATGTGTGCATTGCTTTTAGCAGTTTGTGTTAATGGAAAAATCTGTTTTTCATTCTAATTAGCTTTTGCTTTATATTCTCTTATAATCCCAAAGAGAGTATGAAAAAATACACAGATTCAAGATTAATTAACGGCCTTCTGTAACTCTTGAATTCAGAAACATTTCAAATGTGCTCTTTCTTTGTACCCGACTGACTAAAGAAGTAAAGCAACACAAAGCATTGTGCATGTGCATTATATTTCGATAAAAATGAATAAATATGGCACTGTTTGTTGTTAGCATGCAGGGTTTTCAGTCAACAGCTATCAGTCAGAATTCATATTCATGCATAAACAGAAAGCGAAGAGAAGAGAGGAAGATGACGTTTGCTTGTGCTTTATTTTCAGCAGCGCTTGAGCAGTCCGGCCCTAATTAAAGCGTTCCGGTCCACGGCAGACAAGATGGAAACCAGAGGCTATTTCATTTCCTCTGGTCTTTTTAGACTGTGATTACAGCTGTTTACAATGGGCAAGAAAATAAAATCACAATAACAACAGCAGCGGCGGCGGCAGCGTCTGAAGGAGGGTTATACCTCAGACGAGATACTGTGGATCTGTGTGTGATCCCGTCCTACAGACAGAAATAATGAGGCAGGAATGGCATGAGGATGAGCAAATAATGACAGAATTTCCATCTTGAACTTTTATGTTAAGACTGGTGGAACGAACGAGGAAAAGGTCTGAAATCGGCATGTGGGATTTTCTACGTCTGCCGTGGAAAATAAACGTTTTGAAAAGAATCAGAGAAAACATTGTGAGATGCCAAGACATTTGCAATAATTTTTAGCTCCAGTTCCAGCTGCTGCTTTCTGGATGTCTGTTTACTCATAAAAACGGCATTATAAAATATGCAATATGTCTTCTTCCAGAAACGAACAGTAGCCGAGATGAACTAGATGAATCGTCAAGATTAGTTTACAGAGGCGATGTGGGCTTTTCCGTGCAGCGCGTCTCACGTGGACTATTGTAACATCAAAAACTAAAGTAGCTTGTGTGCGTAATCACGCGGCAAAACTGTACATCGCGTTGATTTCATACGGATTACTTTATCGCAGAATATTTGTTTCCGATAAGACATACTTCATTTAAACGTAGACATGTCAAGCTTTCTATAGATATATTTCTCATGTCTGTGTGTCAAGTATTCTCTGAGTTTCAGTTCATTTCAGTGACGCGTTTCTAAAAGCAGTTCATGGAGACAGAGAAGACGGAGCGCACCCTGTTAGTTTTCTTTATTTTACAAAAGCACGGAGTTCTGTTGTTATTGTGAAGTGTAGCGAATCAGCTCATGGGGAAATATGAATAATTAATCATAACTAGTTATAATTAATTATAAAGTGTACACAAATAAAAGTATACACTTAACCGTTTCGAAATGATGTATAACACTTATTTGTGTGACCAAAATCGATAGAGTATTTTAGTGTCTTGTGATTAGAAATTTGGATTTTAAATATAGTAACATGCACAATAATTTTGGCTCCAGTTCCACCTGGGTGTCTGTTTACTCGTGAGAAATGTACATTATTTAAAGACAAAGTTCATAAAAAAACGAGGAATCCTAAAATCTTCACCTATGCTGGAGCTGAACTAATTAACAGGCGAGAACCAAATGCACAACTTTTGTAGAACTTTCCAGGTTGGAGAAGAAGAACAAGGACTATCTGTTCTTCACACAATATTGTATGAATTCATATGAAAGTCATAGTATGATATCTTATGGCGTTTGTTTGAGTTACAGTGCCCAATCACTTTCAATATATGGACAAGCATGGCGTTCATTTCTCTTTCTGAGGAAGGTCGTATGAGTTTGGATCAACATAAGGCTGAGTAAATGACAACAATTTACTATTCTATTTTACTATTTTTACTATTCTATTTTACTATTCAGTTCTATTTTGGGTTGAACTGTTGCTTTAAACGAGTAAACATGAATCTGGCCTTACAAACGTGAGCAGCCGAATTCATGATGTGGAATTATATAAAGAGCAGTGAATTTACCCCATGGTTTCATCTCCACTCGCTGGCCCTTCACACAGCCATTCCTCCATTATTCAGAGTGTATTCATGTGCAAATAATGAAACTCAGAAGAGTTGCTATTAACTCGCTGTTTGCACAAAATAACCCCCTCCCAACCTTTCTGCCCCAATCACAATATCCTATTGCACCATTATACGTGACTAAATATCTGCCTATAATAGGGCCCGATGTTGGGTTGTGGTAATTAAAAGATAATAGTGAGCCAATTTGAGCTTTACGAATAAAGATGTGGTATCTCAGCAGCACGTCTCATATAAACCCAGGGTGTATTTTGGTATTGCCACCGTTTCTTGGGTTTCTTTACTCCTGATGTTAAGATCCTGTCAGAGGTCAGGTGACACTGATTTATGCCATTCTCACGAGGCAGTCGTAAACGAGGCCGACGATACAGTGACAGTAATTGAATCAGTTCAGTGAATCTATTAAGTAGGATGTCAGATGTAAAACGCGTCCTCCAAATCCTCCAACCGCAGTGAAAGATAAATAAATAACATATACGTAGCAACGCTTTCTCAATGAGATCGCCGCTCAATTGTGAGCAGAGTCATGTAGCGTTTTTACAATCGACAA